CTTTGTGGTAGCTAAGCTTATGTTGTTATGGTAATTTTCATTAATATCACGAGAAATTGTTTCAAGTTTATCTGGGAGTGATATTGGATATACCTCGAAAGCTAGAAGAGCTTGCGCGTTTAATCCCGCGGATGGTATAAATATATTATACTAAACATTCACCGTCGTCGGAACAGAATTTAATCTCCAGCGCTCTTCCCATTACTGCATAATTCACACGTCGGTATAAATAAATTCATTCGAGACGCAATTCGGTGGGTTCGCGAAGGGCGTCGAGACTCCTATCACGCACGTGCTACTGGTTGAAGCTGGCCCCTTTAGAATTGGGGTCGCGTTAAAACTGAGAAATGGCAAGTGGCTGCCGTTCTCTCTGCGGATCGGCGGGCTTCCACGGATTACACCGACACGATTGTGCGGAGCACGCCCAGTTTCAGGTCTTACAAGAGCCCGAATGCATTGGCATGTATACACGTGGTTAAGCCGTCATTTTCCCACGCCGGATTGCCACAAACTGATTATTTATACGGTTATTAAAATGTCTCGGAAACCTTCTCAATTTTTTCTTTGCTTTTCTTTCGACTCACGTCGTATGGGGTTCCTCTTTACTGTTATCGCCTCCGATTATCATCCGATAAAAAAGGGCTTAACCTGGTCTGCTTCGGTAATAGCTGCTAATCGACGATACGAGGTGGCACAGGTACATCTGGCGTGTCCGGAGAACCTAATCTTGTTTCAGACCATTGCAGATGTAAAGTAATACGGGCGACCCGTCCGATGATTGCGGGACATTTCGACGGAACGTGACGGTCGTACACGATTCCCTCACAAATATAATTAGGGCGAGTTCCACCAACCTTACTCTAACTTTGAGACCAACAGGTCAAGTTAAAACAATCATCGCAACAATTTTGATATCAATTGGCTATTTAGAAAATCAATCAATTTCGATTCAATATTTGGATTCTTATTACTATGTAGTATAGTTGTCTCAATAATAAAATAACACGATATGTTATTAATAGGTTACCCAAAAAAATATAGGCTTTATTCATTTTTTGAATACTGCTGAAAAAATAACCAAAAAAAAAGTGCATAACATCAATGATCGTGTTTATTGAGTAAACTTTTAATGTAATGAAAACGTGCATCAAAATATTTCATTAAATAATAATGAAAATTGTTGATTTTATAAATGCGTATTCGTCGAACTGAAAAAAATTTTAACATTATAGAATGACACTTTTTTTTTGTGTTTATTAATTCAACGTATTTATTTATTAGATTGTATTTATCCAAACACTACTAATATTATAAAAGCCGTTATTACACTAATTATTGATGTTTAAAAGCTTTAAATGATGAGTGGAAGAATTATTAAATAATTCCCAAATTGAAACAGTTTTTAGTAATTTGCGTTTCCAATTATGTACAAAATTGTTTCAGCTAAAAGATTTTATTACATAATATCAATATGAATAAAACATTCATTTATACGACTTTTTTGTATGAAAAGTACCTACTACTTTGAATGCCATATCTATAACATATTGTAGAGCCTCGGTCGCAAGCGACCTCGATGTTATTATGCAAATTTCTCGGTTATATTTAAGTCACAATGTCAATTATCGTCATTTCTAGTTAAGCATATTAATACCACATTAACACAAATCGGGTTAACACGTATTGGAGATACAAGTGATGTCACATAGATAAAATATTGTCTAACACAACATTGTACCGAATCGGCCGCAAGCGATGACCGCTTAATTATGCGTGATAATACTTTATCCATTGTATTTAAGCCGAGGTCGCTTACAGGCAAGGTGTTACCGTTCATATCAGATAGATGTAATATTGTCAAACACATATTGTAACCCAACATGTAATATTTGCTTTCCAGCAACCCTAGAATCGCGCTTTCATAATATCTTGTTACTTAAATTACCTAGATTTTTAGAAAAGGAATCTAATTACTATTAACAACTTGAAAAATCAACTATTCATCCAATTTTCCAATTTTTTTATATATTCGCGCATCTAATCTAATACCAAAAGTGCAAGAGAGGAATATTGTTAACAATAAACTTTGCAATAATTATTGTTCTAAAAGTTATTTTGTAAAACGCCCCGATTCCCGAATGTTACCATTAATAACATGAAATAGCAACAAATTTATCAAATTTTCATATTTTGGTATTTTTCTCAATATTGACGCATCTGAGAGCAAAAATGAAAGAGACCAATATTGTTAAGAACAAAATTTGCAATAACTATTGTTCCAAAAGTTTTTTATAACGTGCTCCGTTTCCTGAGTGTTACCATTAACAACTTGAAAAAGCAACGAATTCATCAAATTTTCATATTTTGGTATTTTTCTCAATATTGACGCATCTAAAAGCAAAAGTGTAAGAGAGCAATATTGTTAAGAATAAAATTTGCAATAACTATTGTTTGAAAAATTCTTTTGTAATATGCTCCGTTTCCCGAATGCTAGCGTAACTAACTTGAAAAAGCAACAAATTCACACAATATTCATATTTTGGTATTTTTCTCAAAACTGACACATCTCAGAGCAAAAGAGAAAGAGAGTAATATTGTTAAGAATACAATTTGCAATAACTATTGTTCCAAAACTTTTTTTGTAATATGCTCCGTTTTCCGAATAGTACCATAACCAACTTGAAAATGCAACAAATTCATAAAATTTTCATAGTTTGGTATTTTTCTCAATATTGACGCATCTGAGAGCAAAAGTGTAAGAGAGCAATATTGTTGAGTATAAAATTTGCAATAACTATTGTCCCAAAAGTTTCTTTTATAACGTGCTCCGTTTCAAGAATGTTACCATTAACAACTTGAAAAAACAACGAATTCATCTAATTTTCGTATTTTTCTTGATATTTACGCATCTGAGAGTATAAGTAAAGCAGTGCAATATTGTTAAGAATAAAATTTGCTACAACTTTTGTAATAAAAGTTTTTTTGTAATATGCTCCGAATCCCTGGTGTTACCATTAACATGTTCTAAATAGCGCATTCCATTTAAGAAAACAAAGTTGACCCATTTTTCGGAAAAACTAAAAGCGCAAAACAGTTTTTTATGCTATATATATATAAATTCATTTGCAAATCCTTATCAAACAACATGTCTGACTTTATATTTAACCCTATCAATTTATTGCTGTACTTACCATTTTCTTACCACTGATTCTACCGATATTTAGCCGGCATAGGTTGGCAACGCTGGTCCCATCACCCATCACTAAAACTCACAACCGATCTAATAACATATTGTAGCCAAATTCACTTTTTGCGGTTTATTCCGTGTCAACGTAAAACAAAACGATCTTATTTACCTATGATATTAAAACTACGAAATTTGAAAATTAAACCCTAAACTCAAAGAATAACAATTTGACAGAGTTTGCAACTGTTGTAATTAATCTAAAGGAAGTCGAGGACCAAGGAAATGAAATACGATGCCTACAGCAGATAACTACCAATAGCAATTCACAAACGAATATCACACAAAACAGTTTGAAAAAATGCCATATACCAAGAATACATAGGGTATTTAGATTTGATCTTGGTCAACACGCTGTCATGATTGAAAAACTATCATTTGTACGGAACAATTAGGCTCTGACACGGAGAAAGCAAGATTATTACAAGATTTGTATTAATTATGTTGCCTTTATCTTTGCCTTTATAAAGAAAAACAATCAAAATTTCTTAAATACTTTACCTATATAACTTACCATAGAATTCTGTGGTGCTGTATCATTCCACAATAGTCTTCATTATTCGCATGGGACTGTCCCAACTCGAAATATCATTGGCGCCACAACTCCTGGTGGGTCTTGGGCTGTTTTAGGATCCACTCTCTTCTATCTCGTGCCTTGGCTTCCAGTTTCTAACTCCCAGCATTTTTAGACTTTCTTCCACCTGGTCCTTATATCTGCTTCTAGTCCTGCCTCTCTTGCGTGTTCCAAAAACTGTTTGGCGGAACATTTACTTCGGGGGTTCCCTGTCATCCATCCTTTCTTGATGACCGAGCCACGTTAACCTATTGATACAATACTCGGTTCTTCATAGAGCGGGTACAACTCAAAATTGTAACGACTTCTCCATATTCCGTTTTCCTGCACACTCCACAGTATATGTGGCGGTGTATCTTTCTTTCAAAGCAGCCCAACAGGATTTCTGACGCCCTTGTCTCCCAGCTGCCCCTTCCAATGCTTTGAGGGCCTCTATGGGGTCCCTTTTTGTTCTTGCTATTAAATCTAACAATAAGTCGTCGGCGTATACTGATATTTGTCCGCTTCTATTAATAATGGTTCCTCTATTTGCTATACGCGTTTCTTTTACAGCCTTCTCCAAAGTGATGTTCTCCAAGAGTAGGCATGATAGGCTGTCCCCCTGGTGTAGCCCCACACCTGTCTGAAAGGATCTTAATAAGTTCTTTTGGACCTTCACTTTATACTCAATTTGTAAGAGCTCGAAATCTGATCTTATTATTTCCCAGTATTTTTTTTCATTGATAATAACAATTTTTAATCAAAATCTTTACTTACATATTCAAAATTTTCAACAATTAATCTATAACTGTCAAATTTGACAAATGTTTCTCGAAAAATCCATTTAACTCAGTAATTAATTAAAACCACAATAAACAAATCATTAAAACTAAAAATACAATAATAGTTTACTTAATCTTATAAAAAATATTAATCACAAAATATTTATAGAAAACATTAAATATTTTTTCAATCTGGATCTCCAAATCAAAATGAACATCTAACCTTACTTTTTTGACGTTAACAAAATTACATTGTAAAAAATTGTAACCAAATCAACAATCAAAAATTATTTTTCGAGCCCGTTTTAAATACACTTTCAAATTCATTCGAAAATCGCAAAAATATCGACTTTGTAATAGCCAAAAAAGGCGAACCAAAAGAAACCTTTAGGTGAGTCGCCTGTTGTTCTAATAGATGTCGCTAGATTTCGGCTTGATGTTACGCTGTTTAGTACACAAAAGCAAATTTTTAGGTTACAGAAACATGGTAATTATGACTAACGATTATATAACATCGATACCTGAATTAAATAAGCCACATGTATACATAAAAGATAAGGCTAAAGTTAATTTGATCATAAATGAATTGGTTAATGGAGGTCAAAGTAAGCTCCAGGTCATCTTGGATTTTGATAGAACTATTACAAAACAACATGATGATGGGGTACCACAAGTAAGTAGCTTTGGTAAGTTCATGTCTTATCTATATCATAACAATGAATTAATTGAATAATGTATCAAATCTTGGTTAAATTACAGCAATTTTTGAAAAATGTCCTTCGTTACCTGATACATACAAGATGGTTGTTGAAGCTTTGAATATGAAATATAAACCCATTGAATTTGATCCTAAAATACCAAGTGCTGAAAAGAAAAAGCACATGGAAGACTGGTGGCGACTATCAAAACAAAATTTAGCGTAACTTAGTTTTAATTTTAAAATATAAAATGAATTATAAAAAACATTTTTTAGGGGTTTATCAGTTTCTTATAAAGAAATTGAAGAAGTTGTAAGAGAACTAAAACCTACATTAAGAGATTGTTGTATAGAACTGTTTGATTTACTAAAAAAAAACGAAATTCCTATATTGGTTTTCTCAGCAGGATTAGGGCAAACTGTTATTGCAGTACTTAATTATTACAATATCTTACACAGTAACGTGAAAGTAGTTGCAAACTTTTTAAAATACAATGATCAGGGTATAATTCAAGGATTCCAAGACGAAACCATCATCAATGTTTTCAACAAAAATGAATCTGTCCTAAGCGGAACTGAATATTACGAAAAATTACATGATCGAGTTAATGCTATTGTTGTTGGGGATTCTATTGGGGATGCAAATATGTTTAGTGGGGAACAAACTGGATGTAACGTTTTAAAAATTGGGTTTTTATATGATCATGTAAGCGATTTTTTGAGTCAACATAGGATTATTTATTGAACAATTTTTGTTTACAGGCCGAAGATAATTTGGAGGGTTACATGAAACATTTTGATATTGTTTTAGTTGATGACCAAACTATGCACGTTATTCATGCTATTTTAAACCATATATTTTAAGGATTTTAAATAATTTATCTATTTGTATTGTAAATAGATGTATTTTTATATTTTCATTTTGTATTTACTTAGTTTATTGGTGTGCTAATGTTGTTACTAAAAATATAAAATAAAATTTTGTTGGGAAATACATTAGTTAATTTTTTTTATCCTTTCAAAATCGCTAATTTAAATTAGGAGAATTTATGACACTTTCACTTATGACACTTCTTTACTATTATACAAGATTCATCGAATGGAACTAAAAAGAAAAAATAAAATAACATTTTGTTGGGAAATACATTAGTTAATTTTTATATCCTTTTTTTTAAACCGGTAATCTAAATGTTAAATTAAAATAATTTATGACACTTTCACTTATCATAAGTTATGACACTTCTTTATTATTATACAAGATTCTTCAAATAGAACTTTCTTTTGGACAACGCATTAGAATGCTAGGATAAGTCTGCATACCCCGTCGAAATCAAGATATATACAAATTAAAAAAAAATATAAGACAGAAGAGAAACTAATGAAGGGATCACAAACCAGTGGTCGGGGCAAAACCACAAGGATCAGTTCGTAATACAGTTTTTGAAAGGGACCGAATTTTTGAAATATTGACGCATCTGACTGTGAGGGCAAAAGTGCAAGAGAACAATATTGTTAAACATAAAATTTGCAATAATAATAGTTCCAAAAGTTTTTTTATAACATGCTCCGTTTCCTGAATGTTACCAAATTCATAAAATGTTCATATTTTTGTATTTTTCTCAATATTGCCGCATCTGAAAAATTGCAATAACTATTGTTCTAAAAGTTTTTTTGTAATATGCTCCGTTTCCTAATTATTACCATCAACAATTTGAAAAAGCAACAAATTTATAAAATTTTCATATTTTTGTATTTTCTCAATATTGACGCATCTGAGAGCAAAAGTGAAGGAGAGCAATATTGTTAAAAATAAAATTTGCTACAACAATTGTTCTAAAAGCTATTTTGTAAAATGCTCCGATTCCCGAATGTTACCATTAATAACTTAAAATAGCAACAAATTCATCCAATTTTCATATTTTTGTCTTTTTCTCAATATTGACGCATCTGAGAGCAAAAGTGAAGGAGAGTAATATTGATAAGAATAAAATTTGCTACAGCTACTGTTCTAAAAGTTTTTTTGTAAAATGCTCCGATTCCCAAAGGTTAGCATTAATAACATGAAATAGCAACAAATTCATCCAATTTTCATATTTTTGTATTTTCTCAATAGTAACGCATCTGAGAGCAAAAGTGCAAGAGAGCAATGTTGTTAACAATAAAATTTGCAATAACTATTGTTCCAAAAGTTTTTTTGTAATATGCTTCCTGAATGTTACATTAACAACTTGAAATAGCAACAAATTCATCTAATTTTCATATTTTTGTCTTTTTCTCAATATTGGCGCATCTGAGAGTAAAAGTGAAGGAGAGCAATATTGTTAAGAATAAAATTTGCCACAACTATTGTTCTAACAGTTTTTTTGTAAAATGCTCCGATTCCCAAATGTTAGCATTAATAACATGAAATAGCAACAAATTCATCCAATTTTCATATTTTTGTATTCTCTCAATATGAACGCATCTGACAGCAAAGGTGCAAGAGACCAATATTGTTAAGAATAAAATTTGCAATAACCATTGTTCTAAAAGTTTTTTTGTAAAATGCTCCGATTCCCAAATGTTAGCATTAATAACATGAAATAGCAAAATTTTCATATTTTTGTATTTTCTCAATAGTAACGCATCTGACAGCAAAGGTGCAAGGGAGCAATATTGTTAACAATAAAATTTGCAATAACTATTGTTCCAAAAGTTTTTTTGTAATATGCTCCGTTTCCTGAATGTTACCATTAACAACTTGAAATAGCAACAAATTCATCCAATTTTCAAATTTTTGTCTTTTTCTCAATATTGACGCATCTGAGAGCAAAAGTGAAGGAGAGCAATATTGATAAGAATAAAATTTGCTACAACTATTGTTCTGAAAGTTTTTTTGTAAAATGCTCCGATTCCCAAATGTTAGCATTAATAACATGAAATAGCAACAAATTCATCCAATTTTCATGTTTTGGTATTTTTCTCAATATTGACGCATTTGAGACCAAAAGTACAAGAGAGCAATATTGTTAACAATAAAATTTGCAATAGCTATTGTATCAAAAGGTTTTTGTAATATGCGCCGTTTCTCGAATGTATGAAATAGTAACAAATACATAAGATTTTCATATTTTTGTATTTTTCTCAATATTGACGCATCCGAGAGCAAAAATGCAAGAGAGCAATATTGTTAACAATAAAATTTGCAATTATTATTGTTCCAAAATTTTTTTATAATGACTTTAAATTAAAAAAAATTTAAAAGATTTGTAAGAATGTGTTGGCAGAAGTTCAGTAAAACAACTGGATGTAACACATGCTGAGTAATGAACATTAATGGAACATCCGAACACATTGCTACCAGAGATAATATAATGTTGAGAAAGGTTAGTTTTGTTTACCAGAGTTAATGGCAACCAGGTAAAAATTGTTGTGGAAGGTTATGGCAATAATCAGACCCATGGTCGCCTACACCTACTTTGGTGGTCAAAAACAAATCACAAGACAGCACAACAACAGCTAACATAAATCCAGCGGCTTGCATGTCTTAATATATTGGGTGCATACCTTGTCAAACATCTGCTCTTAAAGCCCTACTTAGGCTCACACCACTTTGCTTGTAGGTACAAAATGTGGCAGTTTTGAGTGCCTTGTCACTGAAAATATGCTCTTCAGTGCATACAGTAGCACAATTTCACTCAAGCTGATGCAGATCTTACACCAACAAAATATAATTTCGACCAGTCATATAAGGTCATATTTAGAAGCAGGGAAGAAATTATAACTTACAACGCAAAAAAGATGTCATTTTATAAAGACTGCAATCTCATGTATTTGGTATTCAATAAATATTTACTTTTGTAAAAAGTCTCCATTGGGCAACCTTAAAATAAAGTTGTCATTTGGGTTGCCTAACTAAAAAAGAAAATGACCCTTAATATATCTTTAAATCTTTTCATAAACAAATAAAAACCCATCTCAACATCCTAAAAAACATCTAAAAATAAACCATCAACTTAATTTATATTCCAATTAAATTTATTTTTAAACCCCAAGAAGGTAAACACAATGTGTTTACTTCACCTAAACTTAACCTCAATTTCTCAACAGTTTTCCTATTGATTTCGTTAATCTATGATTAACTGATTACAAAAAAATGTGATATAATGATTTAGTCACTACTAAAACATTTTTTATTATTCTATTACGAACACATTTCTTATCTGTTGAATGCGAAATCAAAGCGATTAAAAATTTACAACGAAATCGTTGGGCCAGCAATTACTTTTCGAATTCGCGCAGGCGCTACGATTTTCGGTGTGGACAAGGTGACCCTCAAGAAACCATCCTCGACCGTATATATACATACACCAGTCTCGATTGTGATTCGAATTCCGGTACAACTGCAAAAATGTCCAGCGTACACACTGATAATGAACGAAGAAAACAAATAAGTGTTCGAGGAATCGCCGAATTAGCTGATGTTAATGAAGTAAAGAAGACTTTTAATAGACATCTTCATTACACCCTCGTTAAAGACAGAAATGTTGCTACTACAAGAGATTATTATTTTGCCCTTGCTCATACAGTCAAGGATCATTTGGTTTCTAGATGGATAAGAACTCAACAATTTTATTATGAAACTGATCCAAAGGTAATTTAAATATTTTCCTTATAATTAATTTATTTTTAAAATTTTTTTTAGAGAGTTTATTATCTCTCCCTCGAATTTTACATGGGAAGATCCTTAACAAATACAATGATTAACATTGGGATTCAAACAGCTTGTGATCAAGCTCTCTATGAATTGGGATTGAACATTGAAGATTTAGAAGAAATGGAGGAAGATGCTGGTCTTGGAAACGGAGGTTTGGGCCGGTTAGCAGCTTGTTTTTTGGATTCAATGGCAACTTTAGGAATGGCCGCTTATGGTTACGGAATTCGTTATGAATACGGTATTTTCGCCCAAAAAATTATTAATGGTGAACAACAGGAAGAACCTGATGATTGGTTACGATTTGGAAACCCTTGGGAAAAAGCCAGACCAGAATACATGATTCCCGTTAATTTTTATGGACATGTCATTGATGGACCTGGAAATACTAAAAAATGGGTTAATACTCAAGTTGTTTTTGCATTACCCTATGATAATCCAGTTCCTGGTTATGATAACAATGTTGTGAATACTTTAAGATTATGGTCTGCTAAATCTCCAATTGATTTTAATTTAAAATTCTGTAAGTATTAAAATTCTGAACGTTTGACAGCTGTCAAATATTTTGATAGCTGTCAAAAGTTTGATATTGAGGTTATGTCAATTTAGCTGAATACATAAATAATTTTTTTTGTATTATTCAAGAATGATCATGTGGCTTAAAAATCGACGATTTTTTTTTTAATCAATGGGAAATCACTCAAATAAGCTACAAATAAAAATAAAGTGTAAAGCTTACCGAAAAATCACATTAAAGTTTCGACGTAACCTCACTTTTCGTGACGTCATCGACGGTGCTACCATATATTTTCGCAGCACATTTGGTTAAAATGCATATTTTCGGGTGAAATACGGTTGTTTCTTAGATTTTCGATGTTCAACGACTAAAACGTCGTTATTTACCATCTATAAACTAAAGATAACTTAAAATCTATACCTGATGCCCGCGCTACCCCCTTTTTAAACGTTACCTTACAAGTTAAGTTAATTAACATTTAAACTAGTGTGAATTTCCCAAATGTCGAGTTGGTCATGGAGCAGAGGATGGGTTTGTTACTTTAACATTCAGATTCACGCGAGTAGGTAGATGGTAAAGAAAGACATTTCACATTCGTGGCTTTTTGTATCAATTGACACACAATCTATTAACACAGAGTCTATTGACACACAATCTATTGATATACAGTGTATCTAACGACAGGGAGTCAGTCCGAAAATATACGTTGTACTCTCACCTAGTTTAGTGAAAATAACTTGCTATCTTGAGAGACGTGCGACTAAATCCGAATGTTTCTAGTTTTTGGTCTAGTGTTAGTTCTAATATTGCACTAGCACTGTCACTAGAACTAACAGAAGACCTAGAAGTAGAATCATTCGGGTTTAGCCGTCTTTAGAGACGTGCCGCTAAATCCGAATGTTTCTAGTTCTCGGTCTAGTGTTAGTTCTAATATTACGCTAGCACTATCATGTTCTAGTTCTACATTAGCACTATCACTAGAACTGACACAAGACCTAGAACTAGAATCATTCGGGTTTAGCCGTCTTAGAGACGTGCGGCTAAACCCGAATGTTTCTAAGTCTAGTGTTAGTTCTAGTTTTACATTAGCAGTATCACTAGAATTAACACAAGACCTAGAACTAGAAACATTCGCGTTTAGCCGTGTTGAAAGACGTGCGGCTAAATCCGAATGTTTCTAGATCTCGGTCTAGTGTTAGTTCTAATATTGCACTAGCACTGTCACTAGAACTAACAGAAGACCTAGAACTAGAATCATTCGGGTTTAGCTGTCTTTAGAGACGTGCCGCTAAATCCGAATGTTTCTAGTTCTCAGTTTAGTGTTAGTTCTAATATTGCACCAGCACTGTCACTAGAACTGACACAAGACCTAGAACTAGAATCATTCGGGTTTAGCCGTCTTTTGAGACGTGCGGCTAAACCCGATTGTTTCTAGTTCTCGATCTAGTGTTAGTTCTAATATTGCACTATCATTACAACTAACACAAGATCTAGAACTAGAATCATTCGGGTTTAGCCGTCTTTAGAGATGTGCCGCTAAATCCGAATGTTTCTAGGTCTAGTGTTAGTTCTAGTTTTATATTAGCATTATCACTAGAACTAACATAAGATCTAGAACTAGAATCATTCGGGTTTAACCGTCTTGAGAGACGTGCGGCTAAACTCGAATGTTTCNCGTATCTTTTGATTCATTTCACATCGATTAAAAAAAATCATCGATTTTTAAGCGACATGTCTATTCTTCAATTTTTCCCTCAAATAAGCCACAAATAAAAATAAAGTGTAACACTTACCGAAAAATCACATTAAAGTTTCGACGTAACCTCACTTTTTGTGACGTCATCGACTGTGCTACCATATATTTTCGCAGCACATTTGGTTAAAATGCATATTTTCGGGTGAAATACGGTTGTTTCTTAGATTTTCGATGTTCAACGACTAGAACGTCGTTGTTTACCATCTATAAACTAAAGATAACTTAAAATCTATACCTGATGCCCGCGCTACCCCCCTTTTTAAACGTTACCTTACGAGTTAAGTTAATTAACATTTAAAGTAGTGCGAATTTCCCAAATGTCGGGTTGGTCATGGAACAGAGGGTGGGTTTGTAACGTTAACATTCAGATTCACGCGAGTAGGTAGATGATAAATAAAGACATTTCACATTCCACATTCGTGACTTTTTGTATCAATTGACACACAATCTATTAACACAGAGTCTATTGACACACAATCTATTGATATACAGTGTATCTAACGACACGGAGTCAGTNAAAATAAACCCGATTGTTTCTAGTTCTCGATCTAGTGTTAGTTCTAATATTGCACTATCATTACAACTAACACAAGATCTAGAACTAGAATCATTCGGGTTTAGCCGTCTTTAGAGATGTGCCGCTAAATCCGAATGTTTCTAGGTCTAGGGTTAGTTCTAGTTTTATATTAGCATTATCACTAGAACTAACATAAGATCTAGAACTAGAATCATTCGGGTTTAGCCGTCCTGAGAGACGTGCGGCTAAATCCGAATGTTTCTAGTTCTCGGTCTAGTGTTAGTTCTAATATTGCACTATCATTAGAACTAACACAAGACCTAGAACTAGAATTATTCGGATTTAGCCATCTTTAGAGACGTGCGGCTAAACCCGAATGTTTCTAGTTCTAGGCCTAATGTTACTTCTAGTGATAGTGGTAGGTAGCGCTAGTTAGGATAAGATATCACTATGTTGCATATTTTTGATTTTTTTTCGCTCTCTGTGTACTCAGTCGTTCGGGCTGATGCGGTGTCTTCAATAGTGCAGATACTGTTTGCTTTGATCAGATTGATGTTAAGGAGACACTGGGAGGAATTGATGCTTCAAAAGGCCCGGGTTCTGATGGTATACAGGCTATTATAATTAAAGAATGTTACGCATCTTTGTCACTTCCTGTAACCATTATACTGAACATATCTAGTCAATCTGGAGTTTTTCCATGTCTTTGGAAGCAGGCATGTATAGTTCCTATCTTTAAATCTGGCAATAGAAGTGATGTATCCAATTATAGGTCAATATCTTTATTATCTGTATTGAGTAAATTTTTTGAAAAGCTAATTTAGTAAAGTACATTAATTACATTTTTATATCTCTTGATCAACCAACTCAAGTGGATGTCATAAACACAGACTTCAGTAAGGCTTTCGATCGCCTGGATCACAATCTCCTGTTGTCAAAGCTTCAGATAAACGGAATTGATAACTATTTGTTGCGATTGATTGCTTCTTATATGCGTGATAGAACTTAGGTGGTATCTTTTAATGGATATCATTCTGATATAATGTCCGTCCATTCAGGCGTACCTCAAGGAAGCTATCTTTACCCCCTTCTTTTTAATATTTACATCAATGACATTTTCAAAGTCATAAAACACTCCCAGTGCTTAATGTATGCAGATGATCTGAAATTGTTTGCACTAATTTCTTCTCCACTCGAGAATGCAGCGTGACATTAATGCACTGCAATGACAGTTTTATGACACTCAATCCTAACCTTCGGCTTAGTTTTACACTAGACTAACACAAGACCTAGAATCATTCGAGTTTAGCTGTCTTGAGAGACGTGCGGCTAAATCTGGATGTTTTTAGTTTTCGGTCTAGTGTTAGTTCCAGTATTAACACACAATCTATTGACACACAATCTATTGACACACAGTCTATTGATACACAGTCTATCTAACGACAGATTAGTCAGTCGTTATCTATGGAAAGCCTAAAACAAGGGTATTTCATCCGAGAATATACCTTGTAATCTCACCTAGTTTAGTGAAAATAACTTTACTTTTAAGTTCATCAGATTGATTCTGTGCGTGGCTATAAAATAAACAAGTAGGTTAGGTGTTGACCGATTTAATAGGAAACTGCAATGTTAACATTGCTTGTGACGTCACATCGAAACTTTACTTTCACTTTTCCGCTATTTTTAACATGTTTTTTGGGTCATTTCACATCGATTAAAAAAAATCATCGATTTTTAATCCACATGATGATTTTTGAATTTTTGATTTTTTTTTTAATTTAGTTAATGATGGAGATTACATTCAAGCGGTATTAGATCGAAACCTCGCGGAAAATATATCAAGAGTTCTTTATCCCAACGATAATAAATTTGAAGGTAAAGAACTCCGTTTAAAACAAGAATATTTCATGTGCGCCGCAACTTTACAAGACATAATCCGCCGTTTCAAAGCGTCGAAATTTGGTAGTAAAGAACACGTTCGAGACGACTTCTCCCTTCTTCCTGAAAAAGTCGCAATTCAATTAAACGACACACACCCATCTTTAGCTATACCTGAATTAATGCGGATTCTCATCGATATTGAAGGGATGGCTTGGGAGGAAGCTTGGGAATTAGTAGTGCGTACTTGTGCTTACACCAACCATACAATTCTTCCAGAAGCTTTGGAACGTTGGCCAGTATCAATGTTGGAATCGATTTTACCACGACATTTACAAATAATTTATCACATCAATTTTCTGCATCTCCAAGATGTTGAAAGGAAATGGCCGGGAGATATGGATAAAATGAGGAGAATGTCTTTGATTGAGGAAGATGGTGAGAAAAGGGTTAATATGGCTCATTTATCGATTGTTGGGTCACACGCTGTTAACGGAGTCGCTAGGATTCATTCCGAAATTATTAAAAACGATTTATTTAAAGACTTTTATGAATTAACACCAGAGAAGTTTCAGAATAAAACTAACGGAATTACACCCAGGAGGTGGTTATTACTGTGTAATCCAGGTTTGAGCGATTTAATTTGCGATTCAATTGGAGAAGAATGGATAACCCATTTGGATCAATTAAAAACGTTGAAAAAGTTTGCAAAAGACTCGAATATGCACAGAAAAATAATGAGTATTAAACAAGAAAATAAATTGAAGCTCGCCGAAATTCTCTTTAAAGATTATGGTATTAAAGTAAACGTTGCTTCAATTTTTGATATTCAAGTGAAAAGAATTCACGAATATAAACGACAATTATTAAATTGTTTGCACATAATTACGTTATATAACCGAATCAAAAAGAATCCTTCAGCTAAATTTACCCCCCGTACTATTATGATTGGCGGAAAAGCCGCCCCAGGTTATTACACCGCAAAGAAAATAATTAAACTAATAAACGCGGTATCTAATGTTATTAACAACGATCCTATCGTAGGCGACCGTTTAAAAGTAATTTATTTAGAAAATTACCGAGTTACTTTAGCCGAACGAATTATTCCAGCAGCTGATTTAAGTGAACAAATTTCGACGGCAGGAACCGAAGCTTCCGGTACAGGAAACATGAAATTTATGTTAAACGGAGCTTTAACAATAGGAACTTTAGATGGTGCTAACGTTGAAATGGCCGAAGAAATGGGCAACGAAAACATATTCATTTTTGGAATGACCGTCGATCAAGTACACGAATTAGAAAAAAAAGGTTACAACGCTTACGATTATTACAAATCCAATCACGAATTAGAACAAGTCGTCGATCAGATACAAAACGGATTTTTCACCCCCGGAAATCCGGACGAATTTAAAGATCTCGCCGATATCTTGTTAAAGTACGACAGATTTTATCTTCTCGCCGATTACGAAGATTACATCAAAACTCAAGATTTAGTGAGTGCCACTTACGAGAATCAACCGAAGTGGTTAGAAATGGTTATTAATAATATCGCATCGTCCGGAAAATTTTCAAGCGATCGTACTATTATTGAGTACGGTAAAGATATTTGGGGAGTTGAGGCTAATTATAAAAAATTACCCGCTCCTCATGAGCCAAGAGAGTTGCAATTGAGAGAGTAAAAATGAAAAAAATAGTTATGTTATTATTTAGAATACAGCAGTATTTTTTTGTCTTCTATTTTTGTCAGGTTGTTATTGAAATTTATATAAGAAAAAATATTCTTTATACGTGTATCATGTATTTGTAAGATTTAAATAATAAAATATTGTTTATAATGTGATAAAAATTTATTTACTTATTAAAAATTAACCAGCATATCATATTAACACTTTGGACACTTATTTTTAATTAATAACTTCTGACAAAAAGTTCAAAAGTTCTAAAAATAAAACAGAGAAATTAATAAGAAACTTAATAAGATGAACCTAAGTGAGTGTAAATTCACAGTTGTGTTATACTGCTTTTCATGATCTATTAATGAGAAGCTATAATGATGCTTTCCCAGACATCACAACAAAAAGAGCAATAAATTACCTTAACTGGAACACTAAGGACTTACAAGCAGCAAAAAATCATCTAAATGCTTTGCATACCGTTATTGAAGTAACTAAGGAAAAGAACCTNCACTAGCACTATCACTAGAACTAACACAAGACCTAGAACTAGAATCATTCGGGTTTAGCCGTCTTTTGAGACGTGCGGCTAAACCCGATTGTTTCTAGTTCTCGATCTAGTGTTAGTTCTAATATTGCACTATCATTACAACTAACACAAGATCTAGAACTAGAATCATTCGGGTTTAGCCGTCTTTAGAGATGTGCCGCTAAATCCGAATGTTTCTAGGTCTAGTGTTAGTTCTAGTTTTATATTAGCATTATCACTAGAACTAACATAAGATCTAGAACTAGAATCATTCGGGTTTAACCGTCTTGAGAGACGTGCGGCTAAACCCGAATGTTTCTGGCTCTCGGTATAGTGTTAGTTCTAGTGACAGTGGTAGGTAGCGCTAGTTAGGATAAGATATCACTATGTTGCATATTTTTGATTTTTTTCACTCTGTGTACTCAGTCGCTCGGGCTGATGCAGTGTCTTCAATAGTGCAGATACTGTTTGCTTTGATCAGATTGATGTTAAGGAGACACTGGGAGGAATTGATGCTTCAAAAGGCCCGGGTCCTGATGGTATACCGGCTATTATAAGTAATAGTATATTAAAAAACAAGTTTCGTAAGACACGTTTGAAATGCACGAATTCAAGTTGAAAAACGAGTGGCGAAGCCACGAGTTTTTTAATGAATGAGTGCTTTAAGTCTTATGAAACGTGTTTTTTATGCTATTTTTTGTAATTCGCGTTTTTAACCTTTTTTTTTTTAAATAAAATAAATTTTGACAATGTAGGGAAATAGGTATGTAGCAGTTGGTAACACCGTAACACTTGAAAATAGAAATTTGAATGACAAATAGAAACTGTCAAAACACAAAACGTATTCACCTGATAAAAATGTTTCATGTACACCTCCCAAAATAAGAGAAATTGCTCAGAGTTCAATGTCCTCATCATTGTGGACCTTGTATTCGATGTTAAGAATGTGTTTAAACATCCATAGACAAACATTGTCACATTGACAACTAGAAAAATTAATGACCCAATGTTACCAACTTGAACTGATTCCATAAAATGTTACTAAAATCTCATTACAGCATCGGATGCTGTAAAGAGTGTCATTACAGCACCCGTTTGAGTACTGTAATAGCTTTCATTACCGTCGTGAATTACAAAAATTATATTTTTATATCTCTTGATCTACCAACTCAAGTGGATGCCATAAACACTGACTTTAGAAGGCTTTCGATCGCGTGGATCAAAATCTCCTGTTGTCAAAGCTTCAGATAATGGGAATTGATAACTATTTGTTGCGATTAATTGCTTCTTATATGCGTGATAGAACTTAGGTTGTATCTTTTAATGGATATCATTCTGATATAATGCCCGTCCCTTCAGGCGCACCTCAAGGAAGCCATCTTGGCCCCCTTCTTTTTAATATTTAAATCAATGACATTTTCAAAGTCATAAAACACTCCCAGTATATATGCAGATGATCTGAAATTGTTTGCACTAATTTCCTCTTCGCTCGAGAATGCAGCGTGACATTAATGCACTGCAACTCTATTACAATGACAGTTTTATGACTCTCAATCCTAACATTACACTAGAACTAACAAAAGACCTAGAATCATTCGGGTTTAGCCGTCTTGAGAGACGTGCGGCTAAATCTGGATGTTTTTAGTTTTCGGTCTAGTGTTAGTTCCAGTATTAACACACAATCTATTGACACACAGTCTATTGATACACAATCCATCTAACGACAGATTAGTCAGTCGTTATGCATCGAAAGCTTAAAACAATGGTATTTCGTCCGAGAATATACCTTGTAATCTCACCTAGTTTAGTGAAAATAACTTTACTTTTAAGTTTATCAGATTGATTCTGTGCGTGGCTATAAAATAAACAAGTAGGTTAGGTGTTGACCGATTTAATAGGAAACTGCAATGTTAACATTGCTTGTGACG